GATACACCCGTCTACACCACCTAAGGGTCACACTCACGTCTGTCCTACAGCATCTGTAGAATACACTACCCACACCACCTATGGGACACCCTCACGTCTGTCCTACAGTGTCCATAGGATACACCCGTCTACACCACCTAAGGGTCACACTCACGTCTGTCGTACAGGGTCCGTAGGATACACCTGGCTACACCATCGACCAGACATGTTCGTGTCTGTCCTACAGTATCCATAGGACAGCGTCACATCTGTCTACACCATCATGTGACACATCCATCTACAGTACCCACATGACAGGATGCCGTTCGTCTACACCGTCAGCTACCTGACCCCTCCGCCTCCTTGGTGGGAACTGCTGTCCCACCCTGCAGCACAGAGAAGCTGGGGGCAGTCCGGGCTCACGCAAGCAGGGTCTCCAGAGGCTGGAATTGTCCTTCCTCCAGTCTCCTCCCCGCCCCTTGGGAAAGCTGCAGAGGAGCCCCATCCCGTTTTCCCAGGGCTCCTGCCAGGAGGTCACAGGCAGCCACAGGTGCCTAGGAGTTTGCACTGTGCCGGTGACCCTGCCCCAGAGGGCTGGGGGAGGAGCCATCTCAGACACCACTGTCCCTGGCGGGCAGCTCTGGGGAGGGCCAGGGAAGGCAGGCAGAGGGTCCCCCTGCCAGGGTCGGCGGCCTCCGGGGGTCCGCCCTACCTCGCTGAGCCGGATCTCTTTGGCGAGGTCTTTGATGAGCTGGGAAGGTTTGAAGTGCTCTGGGAGTTCGTCCTCATGCTCCGCCAAAGCCTGAAGGACAGCACACACAGGCCCGGGCTGGGTGCTGCTGTCTACCGTCTAGGCCACGCCACCCCACCCCTTCCCACCCACAGGGGCCCTCCGACCCAGGCCCCATCAGACAGGCAGGGGGAAGGCTCTGTCATGACCCCACTCCACAGGTGGAGAAACAAAGTCCCAGAAAGGACGACATGCCCGAGGCCACCACTGGCTGGAGCGTGGACGTGGGCGGTCCCTTCTTCCTGGGCACAAGGCTGCTACACCTGGCCATGTGGCTGAGGAGAGGTGGGATGGACACCAGATACTGTTCCAGGCCTTGAAGCCAGAGATGTGGATACAGGACAGCCCTGGGGGATCACCAGACAGTGCTGCTGGGGGACACGGCGGGGGCAGGGGGTGCGGGACAGGGCAGTGCTGCTGGGGGCACCTTGTAGGGTAAAAGGTCTGTTGCTGTGGAGGGCACAACGTGGGGACACAGTTAAAGGGATGCCCACATCACAGAGCAAAGGCCACTTCTGAGCTGATGAGCTGATGCCTAGATGGGCCCAGGGCCAAGAGGCTGATCCCAGCTCCACCACCCCGCCCTGCCCCCTCAGGGGCACTCCGTGGTATCTCCACCACCCACCTTACCCCCTGCAGACTCTCCAGGCCCCTGGGCCCCCCCGCTGCGCCTTGGGCCGGGCACTGCTCCCCCTACCCCGCTACAGGTGAGCTCTTCACAGGCTGGCTCCCACTAGAGGAAAGGCTCCCCGCCCGGACCCACCCCTCTGCCCGCTCATATGGGGCACATCTCCCTACCTGCTTTTTCGTCCATGATCTAAAAGCACCATTGAGAATTTTAGCTCCTTGGACTAGATGAGGGGGCAGCTGCTTCCCAGATTTGTGAGAACCTGGGCGGGGAGGCAGAGGGATTTGATCTGGTGGGCGTGTGCCCGCCCCGCCCCTCCCCGCCCACCGCCTGCGGGCTACTTCACGCGGTGGGCGGGGCAGGGGCGGAGTCCGGCCAGACCTCTGCCCACTGCCACCTGCCCAACTGCCAACGGTTGCTCTCGGAACCTCGGGGACCCAATCCAGGTGCCCCGCGAGGGCAGGACTGGCGCTCCCCCCACCCCCACCGTCCACCCGCAGGGTCCAGGTGTTCCCCCTCCACGTGGCTCCCCGCCCACCTCAGTGAGGGGCCACAGGCGCACCCACACCTCACGCTGCCCCTGCATAGCTGCGGTACGGGGTGTCCCTGCGGTGGTGGGCCAGGGCAAGCACGGTCTCAGAGACGCCCTGGGGGGCTGTGCGAGCCCCCAGGAAGGGGACAGAGTGCCCCCTCTCCGGCCGGGTAGCTCGCTGCAGAGGCCGAGCGGCCTGATCTCCCAGCCACCACATGACAGACGAGCGGGTCCACGGTCAGTGGTCACCCCATCAGGCCGTCTCCAGCGGGGGGGGGGAGGGGCTCTGCCTACACTGCCCCCGTCTCACCTCCCTACCATGAGCCCCCGGGGGCAGGACTGGACTCCCTCCTAGACACGCCCCTGCCAGGGTGAAGTGCTCTGCATTTAGGGCCCAATGGATGAATTTCATTGAAACCTGGCCAGCCAGGACTAAGGTCAGTTTTTAGCTTTCCCATCTCTAGCAGGAGCCAGAGCCCCTGCCCTGAGGAAGGGGTCTCAGCTGGCTGTAGGAGCCAGGCACTGACCCTGAAGGCCTGGGGTGCAAGGCAGCTGGGTGTCCACGGATAGCAGGGACCCAAGGGGCCCACCCCTTTCCACAAGCCTCCGCGGGGACCCCAACAGGCACACCCACCCCTAGGACGGCAGGGACGTTGCAGTGGTCCTCAGCTGGCAGCTGGGAGCCAGGCAGACCCTCAAGCCTCTTGACATCCCAACTGAGCCCCACCAGGAGCCAAGAAGGCTGCGCACACCAGGCCCGGGGACACACACCAGCGTTCTTTCCAAAACATGAACCACCCTGCCCAGCACCCCCCAGCCCCACACTGCAGAGCAGGGCTCAGGCCCCTCGAAGGCTGTGCTCCACCCACAGGCAGAGACGCCAACCTGGACATCTGTACCTTTAAACGCCTCCAGCAAATGCTTTCCCATGTACCAGCAGGCAGTTTCAAAGTTGGGAAACTGAGTCAGGCTGCCAAGTTTCAATCTCCTTTCCACTTCATATGCTCTGGAAACCATAGCAAAGAACTGTCCAGAGCACTGAGCTCTGAGGGGGCAGCACGAAGCGTGAGCCCACGCCCGAGTCACGAGTCACAGCTGTGACAAGGCCACACAGCACGGCTATGCTGCCCCAGCCTCCACAACGGGCCCAGCGCAGCAGAGAGGAGTAGGGGGCCACATGGGAACGAGCTCCATGGGCCAGGGCCACTGGGGCTACGCAGGGACCGGGCCGCTCAGGGGCCCCTGCGAGATCACAGCCCACCTCCCAAGGAAGAGGCTAACGGCACGCCCAGAACCCAGGGGAGACGCCACCACACCGGCCTGGCAGCAGGGGACCTGCCCGGTGGAACCCAGGCCGGCGTGGCCCTACCTCATCTGCATCTCCACGCTCAGGCTGTGGAGGAAATGTCCCGCGAAGGCCAGGCAGTCCACAGGCGTGAGCGTGGCGTAAATCCAGCCTGGGGAGACAGGGAGGTGGCCAGCCCTTCGTGGTACTCGAGGCTCCTTCCAGCCTGTCCTGGTGCCCCCGTCCAAGCTGGCTGGGCTGCTCAGTGCACTTCCTGCCTGGCCCAGGCCCAGGCCCAGGCCCAGGAGCTTCCCACCCAGCCCCGGGCTGCCCAGCACCCCGACCTCCACACATGGGCGTGGGGGTGGGTGTGGGGGGCCCAAGCCAAGCTGCCATAGCCCTGGGAGAGCTGGGCCGGTCCCCGGATCGTCCTCAGAGGGGAACCTGGGCCACATGGGGATGTCACCGTGGCCGGGAGGAAGGGGGGAACCCAGGGGAGGAAGGGGTCTCTCAGGAAGGACTCCGAACACCTAAACGAATAGGAGTATGAGGCCTTATTCAATCCTGATTGAAAATGGGGGAAAAAATGTCTGCAATTAGGAAATGTGAGCAGCGGCTGCTTAGGTGTTGACATCATGCTACGTGCAAGAGGCCTTCTGGAGAAGGAGGAAAGTCTCAGGGTGAAGCAGCATGAGGCCTGTAAGGCCCTTCCTCCTCCTCAGGGCTGAACTGTCCAGATGAGCAAAAACGTGGGGCTCAGGGCCGGCTCCCAGGGCCCCAGGACAAGGCGGACAGCCCCGCGGATGCTCACCTGAGGGGATGAAGAGCGTCTGGCCCTGCTTGAGGGTGCATTTATAACACCTGTCCACCTGGTCTGCAAAGAACATCTCGCTGTGGTTCGCGGCCGACTGCCAGCGCTCGTATAGGGAGATGTTGGCCGAAGCCGGCTTGATGAGATAGAAGATCTTCTCCCCCTGCCAACAAGAGGCCACTGGCAGAGCCTGCCACCGCCCAGGACGCTGGGGGGCGGGGGCACCACAGGCAGGGGACACCGCTGGGGGGCAGAGCCGGCCACTGCCCAGGGACCGTGGACACCCAGGGACACCGTCCCTTCCCTGAGATGTTGGGGCCACACGGGCCTTGCAGTTCAGGAGTCTGTTTGTGGAAAGGTTATGGGCACCAGAGCCCGGGCACCCCACACGCCACGCTTGTGCAACACTGGGAATGTCACGTGTGGCAGAGGCAGCCCCGCTGTGTCATGACTTGCTCCACTCCTGAGAGCCTCCTGCGTCTGGGCTGCAGATGGAAGGATGGCCCCCATGGCCAGGCTCCGGCCCGCCCCACACTCAGCGCTCCACAGGGCCAGGACCATGAGCCCCGCCGCCCCACGAGTCAGGCTCAGGCAGGTGCAGGGAGACCCAGGGCCGGTGCCTGAGCCCAAGACTTGGGGTCTCCTTCTCTGTCTTCACATCTCCCTTGTCCCCTGGCAGAGGCCCCCAGCCCTCCCCACTCTTGTGTGGGCCCCCACACACGTTCCCTCACCCCCTCTTCCAGGAAGCCCTCCCAGCACCGCACTCCCCTCCTTAGGGGTCCGGAATGCAGAGCGCCAGGCCCCCTCCAGTGGGCTTCATGAGCCTCACCCTTCCCCAGAAAAAGGCAACACATCTGGGCCACTCTGGCCCCGAGGCTCCCCCACCCCCACCTCCCGAGGACCGGAGAAACACATGCCCATGCCCCGCCAGGTGCTGGCCCCATGGGGGCCGTGGGGACCACAGGCGGCCTTGCTCGTGGAGGCGGGTGTGCCCACCTTGAGCACGTGGTACCAGGCGGAGGCGCCCCCCGAGTCGATGTGGAAGTCGGTGTAGCTGTCCTTCACGCAGATCAGGCAGTACTTGGTCACCTTGGGCTTGGCCAGCAGCGCGTCGTCCGGCCAGCAGGTCTCCACCCAGGACAGCTTCTTGACGATGTCAGGCGGCTCCACGAAGCTGGACATCCTGGGGGAGACAGGAGGAGGGGCATCGGCGGCAGGAAGCTCCCCCGCACCTGCCGGGCCCCCAGGCGGGAAAGGTGGTGCACGTCCCTCAGCAGTTCTCCACCCGGGGCTATGTGACACGGCCATTTTACAGATGAGCAAACTAAGGTTTGCAGGGGCAGATCGCAGCTGGCCGCCGGGTGCAGCCACAGCAGGTGCCTAACGTGGGGTTTCTCCATCCAAAGTTGGGGGAGGGGGGAGGCCAGAGAACGCCCCTCCCTGGGGACCCAGAAGGGGATGGCCCAGGTGGGCCCATGAGGGTGCTGCTGGATATCGCTTGGTGAGAAGCCACTGGTCTCCAGAGCAGACCACAGGGGACCTGGAGCCTGGAGCCACATCGGTCATTGTCAGACCAGCTAACTCGTCTTCAAGGAAGACACAGACAGGCAAAGGTGGCCTTTTCAATTAAATGTCACTGGCCTGATTAAAATGCCAGTATGGGGGCGTCTGGGTGGCTCAGTCGGTTGAGCGTCTGACTTCGGCTCAGGTCATGATCTCGCAGCTCCTGAGTTCGAGCCCCGCGTTGGGCTCTGTGCTGACAGCTCGGAGCCTGGAGCCTGCTTTGGATTCCGTCTCCCTCTCTCTCTGCCCCTAAACAATTCCCATTCTGTCTCCGTCTCTCTCAAAAATAGATAAACATTAAAAAAAATTAATAAAAAATGCCAGTATGGCATCAAAGTCGTCCAGGTCAGCAGCCCTGCGCGGTGACACATCCACATGCTGGCCGCCTCAGGCAGGACAGAACCGCACAGCTCCACACGGAAGGCCGTGCCGGCCCAGACAAGCGTGTCACAAACCACAAGCTAGGCCCCACCACTCCACCCTCCAGACCTCAGCAGCAGACCCTCTTGACATCTCCGGCTCGTCCCAAGCTGGTGTTCCTCTCTGTCCCCTGAGCCCCTCTCCCCACCGTCCATGCCCACGGTGGCTCCCAGGCCACCTGCTGCCACAGGAGAAAAGACCTCTGCACACCACACACGAGCACTTCCCCCCACGGCCACAAACGCCCTCACTTCCTCGCTGGACGGCTCCTCGAGCACACAGCCAGCCTGCCCTCCTGCCACCGAGGCTCACTGCTCCCTGCAGCCTCCCAGAGTGGACAGGCTGGGTCCCATGGCCCCCAGGCACCTGAGGCCACCGTGGGTGACAGTGCAGAGGTGACGACGTACGTCCACATAATTGACACGTCACTGTCACAGCAGGCGCCTCTGGGATCAGGGGACACGTGAGTCACGGCAGGATCCCCACAGACCCTAACATGGCCACAGACAGACTGTGATCAGGCCTGGCCCCTGCAGCCCCAGCTGGCGTCTTCAGGGACAGACAGCACTGATGACGTGGAAGCCACCCTCTCCCCCTCGACAGCCCTGGCACCAAGCCCACAAATGGCCTGGTGTGACGTGTTCACGACCCCTGTGATCCTTGGACCGGGCCTGAGGACACCGGCGGCACCACACATTTTCTGCCAGCAGAGGGCTGGCCCCGAGAGGCCCAAGGGGAAACCACACACCAAAGCACCAGCTCCCCAGCTCTGCCACGCGGGCAGCTCTCTCTGAAGCCCCCAGGTTGGCCAGCAGACCAAGCTCCTGAGTATGCTCTCATCAGAACCCAGCCTGGGGGACAATCCTGCTTGTGAAGCCGCAGGAGATAGCTTTCTCTCCATACGCTAATCTATCCTATTTCCCTTTACGCCTAATGCTGTCGGGAGGCTCAAACAGACCCCAGCATCCAGTTACAATATCCTGTCTGGGCTCCTGGCACAGTTCTATATTCTCCTTCTCAGTGTGGTTTTCAGTAACTCTTTTTTCCTACCTGCCCTTCTGCACACAAGCTATCTGGCTATCACATGTGCTTTTCGGAAGTTGGCAAGGGTGGAAAGGGTCTGAAAGTAAAATCATGCTTAAACTAAACCAGCCGCAACTCAGGTCTTGTGCCGAGCAAAGGGCCAGCTGGAGAACAGCGAGGATCTGACAGAGGGGCAGGAAAGGCAGGGCCAGGGCAGGCGTTGGCCACGCCACAGCAGAGCAGTGGTCCTGGGAGAGCAGGGCCGTGGCACAAGGGGCAGTGCTGGTGGCTGACCAGCCCCTGACCACACAGAAGCTGGGGCTAGGCAGGTCCAGACGGCCATGGTGCAGGACCCTCCACCCTGAGAACAGCAGCAAGCAGGGCAGGCCTGGCTCAAGGAGCTCAGGCTGGGGCCGCAGGGAGAGCAGGTGCAGAGTGCGACCCTGCTGTGCCCACAGTGTGCACTGGAGAGTGCCCCTGTGAACGTGTGCAGGCACGTGTGGGAGCGTGTGGGGCTGTGGTGTGTGCACAAGCGTCAGTGTCGCAAGGAACGTCATGCACGAGCATGAGCACGTGCGTTCTGGAAGAATCTATGCCGCGGTGTGGCCTGTGGCTCTTTCTGGGGAACGGGGTGGGGGCAGGCCAGAGGAGTCCGCGTCTTGCTGCTTATGATCCGTTTGAATTTGTCACAGTGCATCACTTCCGGTCTTGAGAAGAGAAACAGAGCAGCACCGCATGCCGCTTTCGCTCGTGTGTGCAGGCTCCCCCAGCAGCCGCAGTCCCGGCCCGGGGGCCCTCACCTGGTGTCGGAGAACTCCAGGCTGGTGAGGTTGAGGACCCGCTTGCGGTTGGTGCTGTAGTAATAGTCCACAAACTCTTTCAGCTTCATCTTGCAGTCCTTCTGCTTGGCGACATCCGTCACGTCCACGCTCCGCTCTGGGCCTGCGGGCAGGGCAGGGGGTGGGGCCGTGAGGGGCCAGGGCGTGCAGCCCGCCCGCCCCCCGACGCACCGGGCTGCCCTGTGGGCTCCCTGCTGAGAGGCGGGGGTGCAGGGAGGCGGCTGAGACGCAAGCCTCCGCGGGAGGGGGCCCGGCAGACGGGGACCCCACATAGACAACATGGGACACACATTTTAAAAATCAAAAAATCAAAAACTCCTACACTTCTAGGGTGCCAACTTATTATCCTGAAAACTGGTAAGTTAAAGGAAAAACATTTTCCCCACGTTTTCTGTAGTTGATGAGGAAAACTCCAGGGTGAAAATCACCGATGACCGTTCCTTAAGGAACTGGCGAGGGTGAGCTCCTCACACTGACTCCTAATTAGTAGTGGGAGAAAGGCACACAGGACTAACGGCCTCGTCCCTCCCAACAGTCCCCAGGGGCCGCTCAGACCCGGGCTGCGGGCTGACGGGCCCTTCTGTGCAGGTGGCCAGGCACCACAGGCTGACGGGCAGGAGCGCCCCAGCCCCGAAGCGGCTGCCGTCCCCCTGAATGTGAATCTGAGTGTCTGTCCAGGTGGTGCAGGAACCACTGGGGACAGAGGAGTGAGTTACATGACACCACGGGTACACTGTTGGCCAGATCCCCCACGTGGGACGTTCTCTAGGACCAGCAACCCCAACCCTCCCACAGCCTCGGGAATGGGGAGATGCTGAGAGGCATAAAAACCACACGCAGTGTGTAGGTCTGGTCTGGGCTCTGATTCGAACAGCGAACTGGAAGGGGCGTCTGGGGCGCCTGGGGTGACTGAGGCGGGGCTCTGATGCTACTGAGCAGCCCGCGGCTGCAACGACGTCAAATCATCTGTCAGAGCCCGTGCCGGGGTTTCCGTGGGAGAAGTGATGTACGTGCCACAGCTTTGCTTTAAATTTGGGGGTGCAGACACAGAAAGCCGGCCAAGATCTTGTGATTTTGTGGCCAGTACTGAGCACAGGGGAGTTTATTTCCCTTGGGGTGTGTGTGTGCGTGTGTGTGTGTGTGTGTGTGTGTGTGTGTGTGTGTGTGAAAACGTCCATAATAAAACAAGTAAGGAGAAGGGAGAGCGTTTACAACACAAGCCTCTAAGACATGCCTCCCTGTCGGCTAAGCTGCTTCCAGCTCCCGCAGACAGCACTATGGTCGAGCGGGCAGTGCCTGGGGCCGGCCCTCTGTGCTCTCTGTGGCCAGCTGAGCCAGGGCCTGGGTGCCAGCTGTGGCAAGATGACACTAGCTACCGGTGATGCCCGGCACCTGGCAGGCGTGAACTAGATCTTAGCTGTTATTCTAGGGGCTGCGGCCGGGCACAGATGGCCCCGATGGGGCTCCCTTCTCTCTGCCTGCCACAGGGGACCTGGGCACCAGCCTTCTCGGGCTCTGTCCTCCTCTTGCACGGGCCACACCCCCGAGCCCCAGCCACCTTGGGGCCTCAGAGTCTGGGCCGTGTGGCCCCGCCTCACAGACGACGCCCAAGCATACAGTTTCTTCCCTCCACCCGGAGGTGTCCCGACTGAGGGTGCCCACAGTGCTGGTTGCTGCCAAGGGGACAGGAGACAGGCCGGACAGGGCAGCACCAACGGGAGCCGGAGGGATCCAGAGAGGAAGGGTCCTGGGGCAGACCAAGGGTGCCCCAGGCTGGCCCAGGAGAGGCTGAGGGGGGCACAGCACAAACCTCGAAGGCAGGGGCCCTCCATTACCGCCATCAGCACCCAACAGAATGGGTTTTGCAGCTGGCAGAACGAAAGGGTCCCAAGACAGGCCCCTTCGCAGTCAGAATAACTGACTGGGGGGACGGCCAGGGTCACGTGTCATTTCAGTGGGACATGGGGTCTGATTCTAAGAAGAGTGCCCTGAACGTACACGGAGACCCCGAATCACGGCGCTCACACAGCACGGGGACCAGCCAGGGCCTAAGGCGAGCAGGCTCCACGGTGGCCACTCACCCACGTAGTTCTCGACGTCACTGACATAGAAGGTGGGGGCTGGGACTGCCAGGCCCAGCCCGTCTTTCTTGGGTACGAGGATGGGCTCAGTGAAGCCGTGCTCCTCCATGTAGCCCAGCGTGAGCTGGCTGCCGGGCACACGGACCACCACGTCTTCCGCGCTGCGGGAAAAGTGGGGGTCGGAGGTCACGCCGGCCAGGATCCCGGCCCCGCAGCACCGGGACAGGCCTGGATAGGGCCTCAGAGCCAGAGACGTGCAACCCGGGCTCCCACGCCCTGGGAGGAGGGCTCGTCCCCGGCACCATGCCCAGGGGTCATGGGGGAGCGACGTGGCTTGGACCCACATCCCTCACAGACGTTGGACCTCAAGGTCCAGGAGGCCCAGGAAGGGGAAACACAGAGACCAACCCTCCTACCACGGCAGAGAAAGGCAGAGCCTGGGCAGGATCCCTCCCCTGCCCCTTGCCCTACCTGCCCACCCTCCATAACATTCCTCCCATGCGCGCAGAGATTAGATCCTGCACGGCGCTGGGGCTGGGCCTGAGGACACAGCAGATAGAGACAAACCCCTTCCAGGGAGAATCCACTCCCTGCACAAGCCAAGCACGGGGTCCAAGGGCAACCTGGGGTGCTGCGGTCAGTGGCTCCCCTGCCCAGCTTGCCCAGCTGCGTGCTGGGCACTGCCCGGGGCACCAGGGACCTTTGAGGCCCAGCTGGAGAGCCCCCGTGGTGACGCTGGAGATGGGCTTCCATCAGACAAGCATGCAAGGCCGTAAGCCCACCGCTGAGAGCAGAGCTCAGGGGGAAGACAGCAGGGGTCAGCGTCAGAGCAGCCTGTCCAGGCCTGGAGGGGCAGGATTGAGAGGCACATGTCCCGGGCAGAAGGGGGGGTGCCAGCCAAGCCCTGGAGTGGGGAGAATGTGGCCAGGGGTGGGGAGGGAGAAGGAGCCCAGCAGCCGGGGGTAGGGGGTGAGCGGGCTGAGTGCGCAGCAGCTGAGGTGGCCTATCTGCCCAGCAGTGGGCCTCTGCCTCGTGCCGAGAGCACTGGGGAGCCACTGGACAGCCTGAGTAGGGCAACAACAGCTGGAGGTCAATCCAATGGCTGTGTGGACGGACGGGGAGCTGCCGCGGGAGCAGGCTGGACACCGCGACCAGGGAGGAGGCTCAGCTTACGGACCAGGAGGCAGTGGTGGGCGAAAGGGTGGAGGAACAGGGGAGGTGACGGCAGACAGCTGGAGGGACTAAGAGCAGGCGTGTGCAGGGGACAGATCCGCAGCTGACTTGGGACAGACTTGGACTGAGGACGGGTCAGGAGCTCAGAGGCTGCAGAGGGAGGCTGAAGCCGCCGGCCAAGAGACAGCCTGGGCGGGGCGGGGGATCAGGGGGAGGTGTAAACTCCGAGGGCCAGGGGCGAGAGCAGAGTCCCCACAACTCCCAGGGAGAGTGGTCAGCAGGAGAGGAGGCCAGGCAGGTGGAGGACAGCCAGGGGAGCACGGGGTTGTGGCTCCAAGGAAGATAGTGCTTGAGAGGAAGGAGCTGCAAGGCCCTGTCCCACCAAGAGGGAGCACGTGGGGCAGTTAGGGTGAGGACGGAGGAGGGACCTTCGGGTGGGACCAGTGCTGACAGAGCATTAGGTTCAGGCCAGGAGTGGGTGGCGGGTGTGTGAGCGGCAGCACTGGGACAGTGCAGGGTCATCTGTGGAAGCCCCAGGGTAGCCAGAGGGAGACGGTATCCGGACAAACCGGGATCCCATGCCCTCATGTCACACAGCCCCACGTACCAGGTCTGGGACTGCAAAACCCATGAGGACCCAGCAAAGACAAACACACTATGGTTCTGCGGGGACACCTCTGGGCCCAGGGCAGACAGGCCGCCTCACAGAATGACGGAAGACACATCCGCCAGAGCACGGGTCCGGGGACTGAGCACAATGGACGGCTGGGAAACATACTAACCACATTCACAGGGATAATGGGAGGACGCAGCAGAGGGCAGGGAGGGAGGACAACAGAGCAAGCAACATTGACAATGACCTAGCGGAAATTCTAGACGTGAAAAACGTCACTTTTGAGAAAATTTAAAAACTCAACAGATGCATTCAATAGTAGCTGCACCCGCCCCACCAAATGGTCAATTTGATGGAATACTTGAGAAATAATACAGAGAAAGGGGGTGAAATGCTACTTAAAAAGAAAACAGGCCATTTTTCAGAACTGAGATAAGATACAATTCCTCAAATTAAAAGATCTTACTGAGTCCTGAGTAGAACTGATAAAAACAAAGCACATCCAGATGCACTGTAGCCTACCTGCAGAACATCAGAGACGAGGCAATCTGAAAAGTCTTCAGATAAAAAAACAGATTATTTGCCAAAACCAAACAGTAAACAGATGAACAAACACCAGCCACTAGGCTGACAACAGACATCTCGTGAACAACAAGAGATGCCAAATGACAACAGAATAACAGTGTCTCCAAAGAATTCAAGGAAAATAAATTTACTCTAAAATTTTAGGCCCATTTTAGAAAATTAGAATCATTTAAGAACACAGATGAAATGAAAACATTTTCAAAAACAGAATATTTCTATAGGCCTTTACTAAACCACTAAAGGATATAATTCAATAAGAGAGAAATCAAATCTAGAAGAAAGAAATGAGACTCAAGAAATGAGAGAAAATTGAGCTACGGATTTCACACAATCCCTGTCAGAACACCTGTTGACGTCTTTGCAGAAATGGACAAGCTGAACTTGGAAAGCTGACGGGAAGTGCAAAGCCCCCAGATGACCAAAACAGTCTTTACAAAGAACAAAGTTGAGGACACTGACCAACTTCAAAATTCACTCTAAAGCTACAGTAATCAAGACCGTGTGGTGCCGGCATGAGAAGAGAGAAGAGACATATGGATCGGTGCGGCAGAACCGAGTGTCCAGAAATAAGCCCAAACATCTGTGGCCAACTGCTTTTCCATCAGGAACGCCAGGACAACTCAATGGAGAAAAAAAAAACAGTCATTTCAATAAATGGTTCATGAGAGAACTGGACGTCCACATGCAAAAGAATTAAGCGGGACCCTATCTCACATCATAGACAAAAACTAACTCAAACTGAGTTGAAGACCTACACATAAAGGCTGGAACTGTAAAACTTCCAGAAGAAAACACACACACACAGACATAAATCTTCACAACCTTTAATCTGGCAACGGTTTCCTAGAAGCCAAAACCACGAGCAGCAAGAACGAGAAGAATGAATCCGATTCCATCAAAATTATAAACATTTGCGTTTCAAAGGACACCACGAAGAAAGTGGAAAGGCAATCACGGGACAGGAGAAAGTATCTGATCGGTGGCAAGTACCTAGAATACGTAGGCAATAAAAAGACAACCCAACTAATGAGAAGGGGTTAAAGTAAGTGGAACTGGACTAATGGCTTCAACTCCAACATGTAAAGAGCTTGGAAATGGTCATTCCTGTCCTCACAACAAGAAAAAAGCTGAACGGACTGAATACCAAGGAATTTTCTTAGATTCACTGAACATTAGGGTTACAGGGGCCCCCAGTCGCCCCCAGAATCTGGGGAGACAGGCAAACACAGAGAATCACCACCGAGAGGACCTTACCTGAGGCAGAAGCGGCTGGAGGCGGTAACTGAGAGGATAATTAAAGTGATTTCTGACAAAGTGCAGAGGCTGAGTGTGAACTAGCTTCAGAGTTAAGAACTCATGGGGCCCAGCCTCAGAGGAGACCCACCTTGATGGGTTCTACCCACAGGTTCTCCTGGTGAAGAGCTGTCCTATTTCAGACATGGTTGGGGGAGAGCAATTATGTGTAAATATACTCCAAGTGTGCTCCATAACAAAAGTCTACCTTCCAGGAGCACTTACTTAACCAGACCCTCCTCTGATGGGGGAAGGGCAAGTGCCCACCCATCCCCCTGACGCCACTAGCTTCCTGTCTTAGGGAAGAAGAGCAAAAGCGAAGGCCAAGAAATGCTTCCAAAGGTAACAGCCCAGAGCCTCGGGCCCACTGAAACACTGAGGTGTGTTATTCAATTACAGGACACTTCCCCTACCCCAATCCTACTACCATACAACAGTATAACGGTAGCTGAGTATAGCCAAGACAGCTGCAGGACAGATTCTATTTAAGAAGGAGTTGTTAGGGACACCCAGCAAGAACAGGAGAGGAGGAAAACACAAGGAAACTAGGAGAAAGTCATGTGTCTGGCCCTACGGCTACAGCAACACAACCCAGTCCCTGGTCTGGTCAACACAAAACCTCACTCTAAATGCATAATCACCTCAGTTCCTTTGACTCAATACATCATGTCCAGCTTTCACCAAAAAATCACAAGATGCGCTAAACGGCAAAAAACCATAGTCTTAAGACACAAAGCAAATCACCTCACCCCTGTCAGAACAGCTGGAATCAAAAAGAGAAGAAACAACAGGTGTCGCCGAGGATGTGGAGAAAAAGGAACCTTCTTGCACTGCTGGTGGGAATGCAAACTGTGCAACCTCTCTGGAGAACAGCGTGGAGGGTCCTTAAGAAATTAAAAATAGAATTACGTGGTGGCCCGGTAATTCCACTACTGGGTATTTACCTAAAGAAAATGAAAACACTAATTCAAAAAGACACGTCCTGAAGTTTATAGCAGCACTATCAGAAGCAGCCAAGATACAGAAAGCCCAAATGTCCATCGACTGATAAATGGACAAAGAAGATGTGGTGTGTATACACACACACATACACACACACACATACACACATGATGGAATATTACTCAGACATAAAACAAATGAAATCTTGCCATTTGCAACAACATGGATGGAGCTAGAGAGTATAATGTTAAGTATAATAAAAATAAGGCAGAGAAAGACAAATACCATATGATTTCACTCATATGAGGAATTTAAGAAACAAAAGAAATGAACAAAGAATGGGGAGTCTGGGTGGCTCAGTCAGTTAAGCGTCCGACTTCGGCTCAGGTCATGATCTCACAGTTCACGTGTTCGAGCCCCATGTCAGGCTCTGTGCTGACAGGTCAGAGCCTGGA